AATCGACTTTGAATAAATAAATCCAAATAACGGATCCTACCTTATATAATTTTGCTGTATATCTCTGTGTGTGTGTGTGTGTGTGTGTGGATGTCACTTTCGAGGCCCGATTTGAGGGTCTTCCCGTGCATAAAATCCTCTAATTCTCCGTCACCCGGAGGAATCGACCCTTCTGTTTCCTATGGCGTTCTCAGAATTTCGATAAAATACAAGTTTACAAAGTTAAAGCCGGTTTTATTCATTTTTGGGGGTACCTGAGGGCTAATTTGCATAATGTGAAAAAATAGAAATTTCCTCATTCTTGCCAGTTGCACTCGCGAGTTTGGTTGGGGGGCAGGGGGGGTCATCGGACCCGAGCTATCGGAAAGTCAAATTTCTCATGCAAAGGCCGCATTCCAGCGCCCAAGGCCCGCGAAGCGGGTTTTGGGCGCCGGTATCTAATAAGATCTTTTCGCTAATTTGAAATTACTATAAATTGTCAAATTTCAAAATTGTTCAATCGGGAGAAAGATTCTCTCATAGGTGATTTTTAGGTGCTTATGCCAAAAATGCGGGTATTTATAACGGGTGCCCTGCTATGGATGTCGGTAGTTTGCGATGAGCAACATGAATTAACGGTAAGTACGAAAATATTTAGAAGACGTATTTATTCTCGAAATATTGTAGTTTACTGTAGTTTCGAATCCTCCCGATTTTTTCAGCTACGCGACATTTCCAAATACGGCGAAAACCTAGCGCTATTCGATGCCCTATCCACCGTAGTTCAAGCCGATCTGGAAGCGCGGCCCGTGTCGAGTGTATGTCCAAAATAGTTTTTGATTGTTTTTTGCAAATATTCAGGACTTTGTCGAGCCGTACGACCCGGCGATCAAACAGGCCATATCGATCAGTCAGCTCAACAGCAATTATTCGTAGGTTTTTTTAGTTTGATGAAAACAGATTCCAGTGATCTCCTCTTCGAGCATGATATCCGTCCCGACAAGGCCGTTCTTGAGGAGATGATCGCCGAGACATCCGATTTTCATCGTGACAAGCGGCAAGCGTTTAGGTAAGCGGTTGCTGCGGATTTTTGCAAAATTGTGTTTGCGGTGCGTAATCGATTATGCCGGCCATATGCTTCGAACAGCGTGTTTTTAGGACAAAGGCCTACCCGAAGCAAATTTGGAAGGATGGAGTACCGTTTTCCTATCATAAGAGCATGAGTATGTTGATAGCGTGTTGGTAAAAGGCCCCCGTCTTAGACAAACTCAAGAAGACCTCGGTGATGTCGGCGATGAACTTCTTCCAACGGCATACGTGTATTCGGTTTAGACCGCGGAAGAAGGAAAAGGTAGCGAGAGAGAGAGAGAGAGAGAGAGAGAGAGCGAGAAAGCGAGAGAGAGCGAGAGAGAGAGACGGGGGAGGGAGAGAGGGCGAGAAAGATACAGGGAGAGGGGGGCGCGCGAGCGAGAAAAAGCGGGAGAAAGAGAGAGTGAGAGAGAGACAAAATTCCTTCCTATTTTTCAGCAATACCTCTACTACATCGGCCACGATCAAGGCTGCTGGAGTTCGGTTGGAAGGGACGCATCCCAGGGCCAACAGTGGCTGTCTATTGGGGACGGATGTGAACCGGTTAGGCCTCCTTGAACAATTGCTCAAAGAATCCCTGCTAGCCTGCCCCCGTCCATCCCCTCCAATTCCTCAAAGAATCCCTGCTAGCCTGCCCCTTCATCCCCTCCAATTCCTCAAAGAATCTCTGCTAGCCTGTCACCCAATTTGGTTCCTTTTTTTAGTTCGGAATCTCGTCTCACGAAGTTGCCCACGCGCTTGGTCTCTTCCATGAACAGAGTCGGTACGTTTTCGTTAATTTTAAAGGGAGCAGCAAGGCAAAAATATGTAATTTTATATGGGTTTTCAGATACGATCGCGACAAGCACGTGCAAGTTTTGGCTAATCGAGTCCCAAATGGACTTTACTATAATTTTGGAAAGGTGACAAAGTCATTCAAATTCAATTTAAGCGAATTTGGATTCTAGGTCGGCCCGTCGCAGCTAAAAACCTATGGGGTACCATACGAAATTGGATCTGTGATGCACTATGGGCCTACGGAGTGAGTGAGAGAAAGAAAGGGAGAGAGAGAGAAACTGAGAGAGAGAAACTGAGAGAGAGAGAGAGAGAGAGAGAGAGAGTGGGAATGAGACAGTGAGAGAGACAGAAAGATTTTTTCAGATTTTCCAAGCAGCCAAACGTCCCATCCGTCATCGCCAACGACCCGAATTTCCAATATACGATGGGATCCCTGACCGGCCCAACTTTTCTCGACGTCCGACTCCTGAATTTGCATTATGACTGTTTAAGTCGGTTTTAAAGGAGCTAAAGTGAAAAAATACAACCTTTTTGATAGGCCAGGTCTAGACGACTACGCGAAACTCCAAATTACACCGGTGGATCGTATTTTGATATATGCTGCCGAGACGCGCGCCGAAAAACTCGGCCCAAAAGCATGATTTTGGGGCGCCGCGTAGCTGTCTAGACCTAGCCGACTGACGGAATCGATTCCCGTGTTTCCTCGGTGCTTTAAAGGACCATTGCAGTTCCTCCCTTGGCTGTCTATATTGAATTTGCGACTTAAGGCCGTTGCACACTTCGAGCCAAGTGCTTCAACGGCGGCTACAACGATCCAAATCACTGTGGATATTGCAAGTGTGTTTTTTTTTTGCTTTTCTCGTGTATCTATCGGATTGCTATATTGTACGCTTGTGGTCAAACGGCTAGAAAAATTTTTCAGATGCCCAGAAGGCTTCAGCGGTCGTGATTGCTCAAGGAGGCAAAAACCTACGGTCCCCGGATGTGGAGGGTTGATTCGGGTGACCAGGGCAACTAGGAAATTACGGTAAGTGAGAGAGCGAGCGCGAGAGAGAGAGAGAGAGAGAGAGCGGGAAAATGAGATAGCCTGATAGAAAGAGCTAGAGAGAGCGACAGAGAAAAAGCGGTAGGGAGAGTATGCCAAAATCCCCATTCAGAATCCACATCAAACCGAACAAAAATGCCAAGTACCTCCGGACGTGCGCCTATCATTTGGTGGTAGGTTTACCATAAAAATTATTATACTTTGTAACCTTCTGTTTTTCATCAAAATCTTTACGTTTCTAGCTTTTGCTAAACCCTGAAAAATACCTTTTTAAGGCCCCGAAAGGCCGCAAAATCGAGATGCGCCTAAGACAGCTTGGCGGTACTCTATGCGAATCCGGATGCTGGCGCCAGGCGATAGAGCTGAAGCCGCAGAGAGACAAGCGAGGCACAGGATACCGGTAAGCCCAGTGAAAATGGTTAGATTTTTTCAGTGTCTTTTGTCTTACTGGCCCCTTTAAAATCTGAATTTTCCAGGTTCTGCTGCCCGGGCTACGCGAACCGCAAGCTCATCTCGGCTGACCATTTTGTGCCCCTATTCCTCTTCACAAGAACTGGCGATACCAAGGCGGTAGTGACGTTCAAGATTCGTAAGTTTTACTGGAGTGTCAAACGGTCCGATATACGCATTCACTCCCTCTCGCTGTCTCTCGCTGTCTCTCGCTCTCTCTCTTTCTCTCTCTGTCTCTCTCTCTCTCGCCTTACGTAGCGCCCCCGCGACGCATTCAACTCCCACCGTCTATCCGGTTACGACACCAAATCCCTCACTTCAGATCGTAAACAGGGCCGTGAGGGCTCGAGTGGTGACGATGAACTCGGCGAGGAGCTCGACAGCGCGGTAATCTTAGAGAAACCGTCTACAATCCGTGCCAGGACCTCTCCGACTATCTCCAAAACGAGGAGATCGAAGAGGAGCCGAGTGGTCATGATGAAGCCACCGTAATCGAGGATCCGGAGGAGGGAGGTCAGAAAAGTGAGACGACAGAGGCACCAGCTTTTGTCACGGCCACGAAACAGCAGGGACCCGATTTTGAGGCTGAGGTATGGTTTAGGAAAATTGGGGACTTTGCAAGGGTTATAGAGAGCGAGCGAGAGAGAGAGAGAGAGGGTGAGAGAGAGTGAGAGAGGCAGAGAGCGCGAGGGAGCGGGAGGATAGGGAAAGCGGGAGAGAGAGAGCGAGAGAGAGAGACAGAGAGGGGGGACGCGAGAGCGTGTGAGACAGGGTGACCGTGACATGGAGAGAGAGAGAGAGAGAGAGAGAGAGAGAGGGAGAGAGAGAGAGAGAGAAACAGAAAGCGCGAGAGGGGAAAAGAGTGGGTCAGAGAAACGGAGCGAGAGAGCGAGAGAAAGCTAGAGAGAGTGCGAGAGAGAAAGAGAGTGAGCACGACAGCGAGAAAGAGCCAAGATTTCAGCTCCTGAACGGCTCCGAAACCGGCGGACTCGACAAAGAGGACGACGATGAAAAGCCCGAAATTCTTACGGTTAGCTGATTTTTTTATTCGAGTTTTGAGCAAAGATTCTGTCACAAAATCGAGGCTACAACTACGTTCAGGAGTTCCCGGCCGGCGAGGTCGATCCCCTCTCTTACATCCACCCAGCCGACTTGCCTAGTGATGAGGACTTGGAGGTAAAATTCAGTTCTAAAGGGGCAGAGACAGCTGGCCAGTTGGAGCATATAAAGCCTGGGGCAATCCAGCAGAGACACTTTGCGGAAACCAAAAAGGAAATCTTCTTTTCCAGGCAACAATCGCCAACGAGGAGCCGATCGACACGTCAGCGTTCAGCGCCGGGACGAATCCGGCTCAGAATAGGTAAAATTAGGATTTTTAGTTTTATGGGGCAGTTTAATTGGATGCTTAGATTTATTATTAAGTGGTAACCACTAAACTCATATTTTCCTTAACAAAAATTGCCTAATTAACTCATTTTCGACGTGCTTTCAGCGTGCCCTTCAGCGAGGCGAGCAAGGAGCTGAAGAGCTGATCCCCGGTTTCTTAATAAGTTTTTTTTTAATTATTAATGGTGCATTTGGTGCCGATAAATTATATTGCCATAGAAAATTTCTGGAAAGCTGTATAGATTTATGCTGGGTTTGCGTCTTATCAGAGCTACGCAGCTCCGGTGGCGCATTTTCCAGCCACGCAGACGCCACCGTAGCACACGTCGCTGGCCGTGAAGGTATCGCACTGAAAAAAGGATTTGCTACCGTATCCAAAGATGAAAGGGGATCGTGGTCATGTTGCGCTTGCGTTACGGGCTGTTTTTGGGCTGCGTTGCGGCTGCGTTACGTATGCTATGCATACGTTGCCACGGCGTTGCACCCGCGTTACGGCTGCGTCGCGGGCGCTTACGATCACGCCGCCGCTGCGTTGGCTGCGGGACGTGAAGCCACGCGGCTACCCTGCGGATGTGTTTCCGGCAGCGTCACAGTCGCATGCGGATCCGTTGCGGCCGCGTGGCGGTCTCGTTACGCCTATGGTGCCGATGCGTTGCTCGTGGTCGCGTGCGATCAGGTTTCGCCCGCCTTACGGCTGTGTTTGGTTGCGCTGCGGTTACGCTGCGTCTACGTTGCGGCAGCGCTACGATCACATTGGTGCGACGTTGAGGCTGCGTCGCGGTTGCGTTGCGGCCACGCTGTAACCGCATTGCGGCGGTGTCGCAATCCCTGTGCGGTCGCGTTACAGACGCGTCGCGGCGGAGCAAGCGGATGAAGAAAAAAAAACCACGCACCTGCCCGCCCAACTTAATCTTCGACACGCAACGTGGGGCTGCCGGCTTTGTCAGGTCGCAGAACAGGAAACTGGAAATATGTTCATAGTGGCACCTTGGTCTCCCACTCCCTTTAAATCTGAAACTGACCGACTACCACAAGCCGTCGTCGCATTGCAGGTTGGACGGGGGGCATAGGTGATCATGTAGTCCATATAATCGTTGGAAATGCCGTCAATGTTGCTGAAAGGGAGTTAGAGAGTCCGAGAGAGAGAGAGAGACAGAGAGAGAGAGAAAGAGAGACAGAGAGACAGGCAGAGAGACAGGGAAAGACAGATAGAGCAAGAGCTAGAGAGAGAGAGGGAGAGAGGGAGAGAGAGAGACAGCAAGAGAGACAGAGAGAGCGCCTACAGTAGATTCGAGTACGGTGCCATCGGCCAATTCAGTTGGTGTTGAGTCGTTGAACATTCCGGTCTCGGTGGCCATTGAGTTGCACGTTCGTCGCGAGTCTAGGAGCGAAATTTAAAGGGGTGACGACGTAGAAACACAATTTTCCTAAATCTGGAAATACCCGCAAATAATCTCTGCTAGATTGCCCTTTCATTGCGTCACCTACTGTCATTAAAAAAATTTCAAAAAAATTAAAATTTGCTGGCGGATTCGTTCTAAAGGGATGGTGACAGTTACGGCTTCTTGTGATCACCTGCCATTTCTGCCTCCACATCTCCCATATCAAATCGGTGAAGGCGTGGTGCATATAGAAAAGCGGGTCCCGTGGCGAGGTGTTGGTGTCGTACATGTCTTCTGAAGAAATATTTTCTCACTCTCTCTCTCTCCCCTCTCTGTCTCTCTCTTTCTCTCTTTCTCTCTCTTTCTCTCCTTACCATCCACCGTATTGTGCACAATTCCGTGCTCGTACTCCAGACAGTTGTACTGATTCGGAGGGCAATTCTGAACAATGCTGTAGAACCAAATTCCCTTTCTTACTCACCGGCCCAACGCTATTCGACCTGGCCAACATCTGGGAGACGTTCGGGAAGCTCAGGATCAGCTGCACACGGTCTTCTATACAATTACGATATGAAAATCTTGCGGCTACGAAACGCACCTCTGTACACGGCCCTGAATTCCCCGGCGGTATTGCGTAGAATGTGGGCGCGGGTGGCGCCGTCGGTGGCGTTTGGCTAGAATCTTTGGTTTTGAAAGAGTCGGAAAGGCATTTAGACTAATTTTAAAAGTACAGGAAAGCTCTCAAATCGACCCTTTTCAGCGACTAGGTCTCGACAGTTAGCCGAAAACACGGAATAGTGTCGAAACTACGGTGGATTCTCGCCCGGCGTGGTTTTGCTTGGTGTTATTTTGAGCGTTGCCTAGTTGTCGGGACCCAGTTTAACGAAGGGGTCGAAAGTCGCGATTCCGAAGACCTTTAAAGGGAATCGTAAGAGTAAAATCTGCAAATTTTCTGGCTTCGAGGTCCCTTTAAAGTTAAGGGGTTGTCTCGTACCTCATCTGCGTATCCCTTGAACGGGCCGGAGTTGACGAGACCTTGGGCTGGACCGGCCAGTTCATCACTGCAAAATTCGGAAAATGGAGAGAGAACGAGAGAGAGAGAGAGAGAGAGCGAGAGAGAAATGGGGAGAGAGAGGACGCGAAAGAGAAAGAGACATGATAGCGAGGGGCAGAGAGAGTCAGAGAGCGAGAGAGAGAGAGAGAGACATCACAAACAGATTCTTAAGCATACAGGAACATCACCGAAGACGTCAAATCTGGCAGCGGCGCGTCGAGGGTTGAGTCCCAGTACGGCAGCGAGACCTGGGGATCGATTTTGCGCAGCGACAGCTCCAATCTAAAATGCCGGCCTTGATTGACCTCAGCTACCGTACCTTTTCAGCGTCTCGCGATGCCAGGGGAGAAATGCGGGTCCGTTGTGAGCACCGCCGATGCCGTCATCGTTTGCCACCAAGTGGTACATGACTGAAAAGTGGGGTTGGATTCCTCAAAGAATCTCTGCTAGTCTGCCCGCTCCATCCCCCCAATTCCTCAAAGAATCTCTGCTAGCCTGCCCGCTCCATCCACCCAATTCCTCAAAGAACCAGGGTTGAAAAGCCGCTTCGCGACCTTTCAACCCTGGCCCGGTCTGATCACATGATATTCTGTCCTTTGCATAATTCACGCGATTTTCGATGACGAAAGATGAGAAACGCGACCTCTCTTCCCTTATATAGGCTACCGCAACTTCCGGCGTATGCTAATTGTTTCCTAACAAAGAGGGTTCTCGATTTTTCAACAAAAAACTTAGTTTTAACATCGAGAACACCGAATTTTTCAAAATTTTATGAGTGTGCAGTCATCCCACGGCCATTACGCACCTAATGACGTATAAAACATACCCCTCACTGCCCCCCTTATTGAGATACTACTGGAACACGCTGACGGAAGTTGCATGCAAATACACACACATACACACACACAGACACTATTTTTTTATATATAGTAGGATCTCTGCTAGCCTGCCCGCTCCATCCCCCCGATTCCTCAAAGAATCTCTGCTAGGCTGCCTTTTCGTTGCGTCACTTACTGTAATTATCGTACATTCCGTTGTCTTTGAGTTTTCTGAGTGCTTGATGGTATCTTGCCCGGTCGAGATCGGTCATCATCCGGTATTCCTTCCGGACCGACTAAAAGGCGATGGTATCCGCCCCTTTGTTCCGGTATTTAGAGTTTTTTTGCGGATGCTGGGCCCAATTTTGAAGCTTACTTTTTGCAGTTGGTAGCTTCTGTAGGTACAGTTGGATGAGCTGATGCCTGAAAAGCAACCTTTAAAGGGAACGTGACAGCAAGCCCGGCGTTTCGGACGCCAAAACGTCCGCCGCGAGGTCCGATACCGCTTGGCCGCCATTTAAAACGCGCTACGAAGCGACATACCGGTTAACGCTTCGCACACGCAACGCATCGACAGGCAATCACCCAGATCCTTTTCGGTGGCCACGGTCCCGTCGAGCAGACGCTTCGCAGGCACATTCTTTGCTTTTGGCCGGATGTGCTCGGTTTTCTGGAATTTCGGGCGATCTTAAGGAAACGGCAAAGGTGAGAATCGACCGCTTTCAGCGCCTAGGTAACGGCAGCTACGCGGCGCTCCATATGACACGGTAAACCGTGTTCTTTGGAGTGTCGCGTAGCTGTCAAGAGCCAAGAGGGCAGATTTTTTGGCTTTCTAGCCCCTTTAAAGGACCCGTGAACTCAAACCTTGGCCTGTCTCGTCCAAGCCTGCATCCGCTCGCAGATGGCCTGCCTCGATTTGTCCGGTGCGTCTTTGCATTTTTCCGAGACTTTTTTCTGAAACAAAAATAGTGATTCTGCCTTTCCTCAAGAATCTCTGCTAGCCTGCCCCCGTCCATCCCCTCCAATTCCCGCAAAGAATCTCTGCTGGCCTGCCCCCCTCCATCCCCTCCAATTCCTCAAAGAATCTCTGCTAGCCTGCCCCCGTCCATCCCCTCCAATTCCTCAAAGAATCTCTGCTAGCCTGCCCCCGTCCATCCCCTCCAATTCCCGCAAAGAATCTCTGCTAGCCTGCCCCCCTCCATCCCCTCCAATTCCTCAAGAATCTCTGCTAGCCTGCCCCTCCATCCCCTTCAATTCCTCAAAGAATCTCTGCTAGCCTGCCCCCGTCCATCCCCTCCAATTCCTCAAAGAATCTCTGCTCGCCTGCCTACCTTTGCCTTCCTAGCCTCGACATTGGACTGTAGAAGCAGGAGAAGACAAATTGCCCCAATTCCGAGCCACATCTCGTTCCGAGTAGTTGTCAAATGAACTGTCACGGAATGGGTAGCGCTCGCTTCTCATTTTTCCCATCGGAAAGTCGATGATTTGGAAGGTGGCCGCTGAAAAACTAGGGTAATATTTTATTTTTTGGGCCCTTAAACTGTGGGAATTTCGCAAAAAATTCCCTAGGCTGATTGATGACCTTTTGCGACGTTTTCTGTTGGGCAAGAAAACGGGGAAAATCGATGGACGGGAGCAGGCTAGCAGAGATTCTTTGAGGAATTGGAGGGGATGGACGGGGACAGGCTAGCAGAGATTCTTTGCGGAATTGGAGGGGGATGGGGGCGGCAGGCTAGCAGAGATTCCTTTCGATTTGCATAATTAGGTAAATTTGCATATTGGGATCCTTTTTTGAACCAAAAAATCCGATTTTCGGATTCATTCTTGACCTCCGCGATGTCGTTGGCTCTGACGGCGGCCATTCTGAATATTGGTATGATTTTTTGCCAACAAAAAAACTCCGAAATGCTCCTATTTCCAGTCGGCTCGGGGTTGATCATCATCGCCGACGTGGTCATCCTCGTCCTCTGCTTTCTCTACCATCGCAGATTTAGTGTGAGGATTTTGGTCGGGTTTCAGGGGCCTTGGAAGGCAAGAATCGGCCGACTTTTCCCCACCAGATCTCTCTAAAACCTCGTTTTTCAGGAAGTGGCCACCGAAAAGAAGTTCCAAGCGGCCCGCGACGCCGCCCAGTACGCGCAGAACCCCGCGCTGCTCATCTACTTGATCGGCAAGCAGGTCTAGCAGAGAACATTTTGGAAACGCTCCAAATGGCCGTAGAAGCCTTCAATGAAAAATTTTGGGGAGGGTAGACTAGCAAAGACCATTAGCCAAAACGCTCTCTGGGACCGTAGAAGGCTAAAGTCAAAAATTTCCGGTAGGCAGGCTAGCAGAGACGTTTGGGGAAATCTTTTAAGGGACCGCATAAGTCATAAATCCATGCGTTTTTCAGGTGGGGCTCACCGAGGAGGAGATGCTGTCCGAGTACGAACGGGACTACGGCGAGAGAAAGCTGATTGTACAGGTACGACAGCAGCCGCTTACAAGCAGAAAGGTTTAGTCGGTGATGGGGCGCGAGGAGTCGGTGTGCAACTACTTCCTCAAGCAGTACATGTCCCGCTTCGTGCAGTACGGCTACGCCGAGGAGGGCATCATCATCACCGCGCTGAGGTGTGTTCCTCAAAGAATTTCTGCTAGCCTGCCCCCGTCCATCCCTTCCAATTCCTCAAAAATCTCTGCTAGCCTGCCTCCTCATCCCCTACAATTCCAGAAAGAATCTCTGCTAAATTGCCCCGTCCATTCCTCCAATTCCTCAAAGAATCTCTGCTAGATCGCATCGGGATAACAAACCGAATCCAGAATCCAAAAAGCAAAAAGGATGCCCCGAACCGGGATCGAACCGGTGACCTTTAGATCTTCAGTCTAACGCTCTCCCAACTGAGCTATCGAGGCGCTGGTCGAAGGGAGGCCAGGGAGGGCTATCCCCCAGGAGAGGAAGACGCGGCCCGTGCCTTCCAATACGGCAAAAGTGCAAACAAAAATTTTTTCTTATGATCCAATTTTTTAGATATAACTAGCGGAAGTATTTTAAATTGTTTTTATGATATTTCAAAACGTAAAAATGTCACAAATTTTTGTCAAAAAATGCAAAACACACAGATTTATTGATAAAAAAGGCCGTTTTTGAGCAAAATGTGGCCTTTTGAAAGAATTTTTTATAGTTTTAGATGCCTTTTTTTCTAGTGGAAACACAATTTTATTTCAGTAAAAACATTATTAAAATATTTGAATAGACTAATAAGCTTTGAGGCAATTATAGAATTAAACCCCCCCCCCCGCGATAATGCAAAAGAACCAGAATTTGCCATTCTAGGGAAATGATCGCCGCGAAGCCGCCCGAGGCGAAGAAGCCCGAGGAGAAGAAGGAGGAGGACAAGCAGAAGAAGACGACCGAAGACAGGCGGACGGAAATGACACAGGAGAAGACGACCGAAGACAATAAGAAGAAGACCACCGAAGAGAAGAAGACCGTCGACGACAAGAACGACAAGGACGATAAAAAGACCAAATAGACCCGCCCTCCCACCCCCATTGCCTGGAATTATCGTGGAAAATGTCTGATTTTTCTTTGTGCTCTCCACACGGTTTTTTTTTGCCTTGAATTCTACCGAATAAATGCTGTGACGTACGGTATCGAGCTTTTAAAGGGACGGGCAAGGCTTGTTTTTTCGATTTCGGTTCCGTCTCCGTCAATTTTGATGGTAAAGGTGCCTAAAAGACTTTTAGAACTTTTAGTAAAAGTCTTATTTTAAACATATTTTCGTAATTCCACAAAACTTTGGTCAGTTTAGGCTTATACTTAAGCTTTTATGTTTATTCTGCTGCTTATCCAGGCTTGGTTTTGGCTTAGGCTTGGCTAATACCTAGGCTTAGTACGTCAATGTCAAGATCCCCGGCACCGATGGTCAACTACGTCCCGATCTCGCCCTCGTCGACCATGTCAAGAAGCGCGTGACCATCGTGGATGTGACCATGCCGTTCGAGAACCACGACCTGGGCGTCTTCGCTGCCGCACGTGCCGAGAAGCTCCGCAAGTACGCCGATATCTTCAACAAGTTCAACGCGGATGGCTACGACACGTTCCTGGACGCCTTCATCGTTGGGCCACTCGGCGGATGGGACCAAGAAAACGACTCCGCACTGCGCCGACTCGCCATCTCCGTCAAGTACGCCGCGCTGATGAAGAAGTTGATGGTCTCCGATGCGCTGAAGTGGTCAAGAGATGCCTACGTCGAGCACATCACCGCCCACCGCCAATACCAAGCATAAATGAAGCGATATCCATTTGCTAGTTACCTTTTAAATTGTAAATTTTTCGTGCCCCCTCCCGAATCTCCCATCCACTTGTGATACATAGATTCTCACAATTTCTCCCTGAAAATGTTGTAAGCCCCTAATTTAAATGACCTGCGTGTCATTTCGTGTATTCTTTCGAGATTGTTTTACTGCCGCATTATCCGGCCCTCGGGCCGAGAATTTGCTAATAAACGTTATCTGTTAAATTAAACTTAGTTTAGACTTAGATCAGACTTATGCTTAGCTTTGACTTCGCTTAGGCTTGGCTTAGGCCTCGCTAAGGCTTAGCTTAGGCTTAGGCTGAGCTTAGGCTTAGGCCAGGATTAGGCTTAGCTTAAGCTTGGCCTGGCGTAAGCGTATCTCAACCTAGGCCTGGCTTAGCCTAACTTAGCTTCCGATTGGCTTAGGCTTCGTTTAGGCTAGGCTTGGGCTCGGCTTGGGCTTAGGTTTAGCTTAGGATTGGGCTTAGACCTACCTGGCCAGGGCTTCGGCTAAGCTAATCATGCGTAAATTCCAAGGCAAATGATGGCTAGCCAAGGTCATTTTTCAGCTTCAAAAGTAGCTTTCAAGTATTCTCATTTTTTCGTTGCCCAATTCGACCATTGGTCATCCCAGGGGGCTCCACTTTTTAATCTTCCCATTTCGCGCTTTGCTCCGTTTTTCTAAATTCCACAGCTCCGGCGCATTAGACTCTTTGGGTTCATTCCGGGGGGAGATGAGGTGCAGCTCTGCACCCCAGATGAGAGACGCAAATTTCGATTAGCCAGGGGCTGGGCGGGGGGGGGGCAAATAGGCCCCAGCGCCCCCCATTTGGCCAATTTTCGATACGTTCTTCTAGGTTTTTGCGCACGCCGCACAATTATCTGATCGCATCTGGAATAAGCACACCGGAAATAGCCGTATTTGCGCGCAATTTTTGGAGCGTTCAAAATTTTGATCTGATGGCACTCGGCTCTCGAATAACTGAAGTTGGAGAGAGCCGGAAGTGTGGCAAACCCGGGTCCAAAATGGCAGCGATTCTTTGGGTGTTTGGAGGGGATGCGAAGCCTAAGCGTAAGCCAAGCTTATCCAAGCCTAAGCGAAACCTAAGCCAAGCCTAACCTGAGCCTACGCCAAGCCTAAGCCTAGGCGTAAGTCAAGCCTACGCCTAAGCCGCGCCTAAGCCAAGCTTAAGCCATGCCTATGCCAAACCGAAGCCAATCTAATCCTAAGCCAAGCCAAAGCCTAATCATGGCAGGCTAGCAGTGATTCTTTGCGGAATTCGAGTGGACCGTTTCTTGTGGTCCTGGGTCCTGGTCTTGTGGGGTGATCCTTTGAGCTTTGCCCTTTCCTCTTTCGAACTATACGAAATGGCAGATTTTCGGCAACATTTTAGCGTGCCATTGCTACTATTCGGCTTTTTGACGGGTCGAAAGAGCATGCAAAAATGACCCTGAGGAGAGGGGGCTGAGCAGATCGGATTTCGCGGAGGCATTTAGTTAACTGACTCCCCCACTGGGGTGGTGTTATTAGTAGCGCCACGTGGCAGCCATTTATAGCCGTGCGCCGGCCAAATTTAGACATTTTCACTACTTTTCACTGCTTTGAGAAATGTTGTCGACACTTTGGCTTGTCGGTATTTTCGCTGTTCCAGTTCAATACAGACTTTTAGTCTTGTCGGCATTTTTGCTGTCGGTGCTTTTTGGCCCCGGGATTGCTATCGGGCTTTTTTGGCTGTCGGTATTTGCGGTCCGTAATTGACATTTTTCCTCTGGTCGTAAAATTGCACCTGCCATGGCCAGGCCAATTTTTTTTGGGCATTTCAAACCCACCTGGCCACCCACCACCACACAATTTTACAATTTTTTTATTTAGAGAGAGAGAGAGAGAGAGAGAGAGAGAGAGAGAGAGAGAGGGAAAGAGGGCAGAAAGAGAGAGCAAGAGAGTGAGAACGAGAGAGAGGGAGGGAGAGCGAGATAGAGAGAAAGAGAGAGAGAGCGAGATCAAGCTGGTCAAACTAGGGTTGTCGGATTTTGCTCTCCCTCCAATTCCGCAAAGAATCTCTGCTAGCCTGTCCCAGGTGATCTTTGTTAAATTCCTGCTTCGTATAGACGCTTTTTGGCAAACAATTGCGCCTCGCGAAACCTAGTGACTCATTTGATTAAATGATGCCATTGGTGGGAAGCGGTTGGGCCCTAAGATGGGCCCTATTCTTAGGGCCCACGTGGGCCCATCTTCAATTGGCTCAATGGAGCGTTCGCTGGCTCTCTCTCTCTCTCTCTCTCTCCTCGCGTCCGAAACGTGCCAAACTACGTAGGGCTCCAGCGAACGACCGGATTTCGGGTTTATTTTCTGTGTTACATTTTAGTCATCCATTCAAGGTGGCATGGGGGGGCAATTTCCGGTCCGGAAAGTGTACAAAAACGAACGTGAATTATTTTCGCAATGTATTCGAATGAATTATTGATGTAATTGCTATGGTAGAGACGTAAATCAGGTTTAATCATTTTTCTGGACTTTTGGCTCGATTGTGGACTTGCAGTAACAGTCCGCTACCCAGCACCTGCCTCAAAGAATCTCTGCTATCCTGCCCCTCCATCCCCTCCAATTCCTCAAAGAATCTCTGCTATCCTGCCCCCTCCATCCCCGCCAATTCCTCAAAGAATCTCTGCCAGCCTGCCCCCCTCCATCCCCTCCAATTCCTCAAAGAATCTCTGCTAGCCTGCCCACCGTCCATCCCCTCCAATTCCTCAAAGAATCTCTGCTAGCCTGCCCCCTCCATCCTCTCCAATTCCTCAATGAATCTCTGCTAGCCGCCCGCGAAAATTCGAGCCATCCCCAAACACACATCCAACATCCACCGCCCTTCACGCATAAGGGCTTAGCAAAAAGCCCATTTTCTCATTTTTTTTTTTCGTTTGTCACACGCGATCCGACGGCAAACCCTCACCTTCTCCATTGAATCCTCTTTTTGTGGCGTATTTTCACCTTTGCCTCTCATTTTTGACAATCGGGCACCCGAAGAAACCCGAAAAGTACCCGAAGGGCATACGGTATGACGTGCGCAGAATCGAGTTGTGGGCGGGTCCTTGTGCAAAACAAGATGGTGAGAGAGAGAGCGAGAGTTAGAGAGAGAGAGAGAGGGAGAGAGAGGGAGTGCGTCCAGTGAGAGAGAGCAGAGAGAGAGATCCTGAGAGAAAGTGAGCGAGGGGGAGAGAGAGGGAGAGTCAGAGAGTCAGAGAGAAAGCGAGCCAGTGAGAGAGAGAGAGAGAGAGAGCCAGGGAGGCGTTTTTGTATTGTGACCTTTATTATGAATTAATTAGAGAAAGCTTTTTATTGGCCTCCGATCATCACACTTTATCAAAATAACCCACGCCTTTTGAGGGTCGACACACTCAAAAACTCACGATTCACCTGTTTTCGCGTGAAAACAGCTGCCAACCGCTTCGGGCCGGGGGTTGTATAAATTTGAGTTCGAATCATTTTTGCGGCGTCCTTGGGGCCGAAACCGGGGTTACGGTAGTTTTTAAAGGGAGGGTGACATCTTGATTCCTGTGGGAGGATCTCTCTTGGATCTAGGCTTCCTCTTTTACATCTCAAAAATAGCAAAACCCGGGGCCCAACTTGTTAAATTTTTTAACATACCGCGTTCCATTGTGAAAACCCCCGCTTTTTCTGGTTTCATTCTGGAACTCCGGTCCGCCCCCCCTCACGAGGCTGGGCCCTGAATTTTTCATCGAATTAATGAGAATCCTTTCATTCATCCGAATCCCACTTTCCTCGAGTTTTAAAGGGGCTGGGAAGCGCCAAAATCGACCCCTAGCGGCACTGGGCCTCGACAGCTACACCAGACTCCAAATGACATGGAAAAGGGGCTAACTTTATACCCTTCCAACCACTAGGTCTCAACCGCTCGGCGCTATTTTGGCAGAAAAATTTCATCATGCTGTTGTGTGTCATTTGGAGCGTTGCGTAGTTGTCTAGGCTTAGTCGATGGAAAGTCGAATCCCGGCTTACTTATCCCTTTACTGTCTAAAAACCAGCTGGATTTCTCGCAAAGAACCCCCTTCTAAGAGGTAACGTGTTGGTGATTTTTTACTGATCGTCATTATGCAAATTTCCAAGGAAATTTTTCAAAGAGAAAGAGAGAGAGTGAGAGAGAGAGAGAGAACGAGAGAGCGAGAGAGAGGGAGAGAGAGCGAGCGAGAGAGTGCGAGGGTGAGAGAGATAGAGATAGAGAAAGAAAGAGAGAGAGAGAGAGAGATATCGAGATCGGGCTCGATTCCACGACAAATAACCGCGAAAATTATATTATAACTCCCAGGTGCGCCAAAACAAAACTTGTTGCCAAAAATCACGATAAGAGTCGTGTTTTGACATTTTTAGCCCACGACCCAAAAATTCGATTTTGCTTGGTGTTCGCAGGATATAGCAGTGATGTCAGCGGAACGTTTTTTGAGATCTTTTTTGGTCCTTTGAAAAGAGGAGGGCAAAAATCGGATTTTCAGCTGGTAGAATTTGATTATAAGCTGCCCGCGGGGTCAGCCGGGAGGTCAGAAATGACACCAGAAGCCTGGAATTGAGCCCTATCTTTTGCCATCTTCAAAATTAGCTATTTAAAAAACGCTTTTAAAAATGTATTTTACATGATTTTAATGATTTAACGATATTTTTTATGAAATTAGGTCCCGGTTTTGTTATGCCAAACGTTTTTTGTTAAGATTTAGCGTTGATTCGCCTTTTTGTGCTTTAGAGCTTTTCTTCCGGTTGTTTTCGGCTTCACCCAAACCCTCATTATATCCCTAGTAGCCCCTCCTTCTAATCACTCTCCAAAATATTTTGCGACTACGAAAAAATCAGGTGGCCCCAATTTTCCCAGGGATTTTTTCCATAATTTGTATGTTTTTCAAATCAAAAAATTTCGCTTTTCATTTGTCAACCTGTCATTTTGCGCGCCACTTAAGCCCATTTTCTAAGCCTTTTTTGGACAA